CAATAATAAATAAAATAAATGTCTATTAAGAAGAAGTTGAATAGTCTAGGGGGTTAAACTTATCTTGAATGCTTAATAAAAAGTTGAATAATTTGGGAGGTTAAACTTAGTTGGATGCAAAATTACCAAATGATCTCATCTATTATGAAATATACAATTTGCTTGTAGGGGCATAATAGTCTTTAACTTAATTAGTATTTTAAAAAACCAAAAAAAGGAGAAAAAAGATAAATAAGCTCCTAGCTTTTAGAAGAGGCCACATCATACATAGTGGTTTCTTCTTTAATATATATATAGATTGCCCATGCATGATCGTATTTAAACGACTTTTCGTATCCGGAACAATATTCTTTTCTTGTGGCATCCTTTATTTGGTCATCAGACCATCCACTATGATATTGTCTTTCAATGTTAATGAAACCTTCGTCTAAAGATGTTGGGTGGAAAAACCGGTTGATCAAAAAAAGAATCTGCAACAAGACGATTATGTCCATTTTCACAACCTCGTTGTGTGTCTCTTTCTTCTTGGTCTTCGGCTCGAACTCTTTGCTTCCTCTTGGGCTTCTTTCTCCACAAGCACCAACAATATTTTTCCTCGGTATCGTCTGTCAATTCATCGACAATAAATTCATTCACTTGTATCAAGAGTTGCTCGATGACGTCGTCAGACATAGTTGGGACTTGGAAGTATAAGATAGACGGTTGTCAAAAACAAATAAAGATAAAATACGACTACGTTGATTTTTTTTTTTTCCGAAATGAAGTTTGTATTTTAAAATTCATTGATACAAAATTATAATGACGAGGGTAGAAAAGAAATCAATTCGTTCTAAAATGGAAGCCGATGAATATATTATATGATTTTTATATTTTTTTAGGTATTCGATATTGGTGTCATTATGATCTTTTTAACGAGAGTTTTCAAGAATGCATTTTGTTATATAATATATTTGGTTTTATTATAGATATTTAATGAATTAATAAAAATATATTAAGGTTTAAAATGAAAATTATATTAAAAGAAGGTATAAAATGAAAATTTAAGGAGGTAAATAAAGAGTGTCACATACTAATATTTATGGATTAGATAAGATCATACTAAACATGCTCGATCACGCACGGGAACTCAAATCGACCATGTTTTATACATCCATGTATAGCAAGGTCTAAGCTGAGGTGGATTACACAAATAACCTTTATTGGTGATTTGTATCATTAATATCATTTAAGTGTAATGATATT